GTCCTCGACCCGATTGTGCCCATCGAGTCTGAGCTGCCAGCCAGCTCGTTAGCGTTGGTGATGGACGGCACTGGGCTAAAGGTCCTGAAGTGGCTGCCGGACTCGACGCGACGCGGCGAAGAGTTGCCACAGATGATGTTGGTGGTGGCAGTGATGGTGGTAGTGTAGTGGTGCTCCTGCCTGGTGGTGGTGGTGGCGGTGGTGGTGGGAGTCGCCTGCCTGACTGTGGGCCGAGCGTTTGAAGTGCTTTCAAATTGTACACATTTGTTGTTTGCCTGTTGTCGCGTCGCGTCGCAGTTGTCTCGCTTGCACCGCCCGGGTCTGGCCATATTTTTATTGCGATTCGAATCGTATCCGAATCCGAATCCGCAGTCCACCCCTAATGGCTAACGGACAGCGCGGACCGGGCAGCCAACACAAACCAACGGCCATTGCTTCAACCCTATGGGCAAGAGCCCAAGCCCAAGCCCAAGCCTTGGCCTCTGTGCCAACCCACACCGCACACTTTACAGTCCCTTTTCTTGAGCGGGCAGGGGGGGGATGTGGGGGATCTGTGGGCATAAGCAGCCCATTTATACAATTACATTTATAAATGTTGCGCTCCGATATCAAACACACAAACAGACAGACAAAACACATTCGCCATATTATTAAACAAATACCCAGACCAAAGAAATACAATTGAATTTCTCGAACGGCCTTTGACAGCGAGTTTTTCCGCCTGCCTTTCCCAAGCAGCTCCCCCTGAAAACTTTCCGCAACTCTGCCAATTGAACACTGTATAAATTGCCCATAATCAGCATGTATGTGCGCCCCCTTTATAAGATAAATAATAAAAAAAAAAGGTTTTACAGCTGTTGAATCACCTTGACAAGCCTGGGAGTAAAAGAATATCTTCAATTTGAGACACTGAGCCACAGTTGGCATTGTTCAGTTATCTGGTATTATCTAGTTTTATTTAGATAACAATTTTATAGAGCAATTATAGGTGGAAATAAGTAAAAGGTTCTAGTCGGGAGCTCCCGACTAGGGGATACCCTGAACCCTCTTCTTCCAACAGGCGATAGGTATAAAATGAAAAATACTTGATATATATATATACTATTCTAGAAGCTACATGTCAAGTTTGGTGACTCTAGCTCATATTATTTACCGAAATTGCCCAAAAAACAGGATTTCGATATCGATTTTTATCGATTACTTGGAAACGGGGCAAGTTATCGAATATCGGAAACAAATTCGATCTGCGCGGGGACTAGGAGAACCTACAGCTAAAATTCTAGTCTCTAGCTCTTATAGGTTCTGAGATCCTTGCGTTCATACTTACGGACTAAATCGACTCGGCTATTGATGCTGATCAAGAATATATATACTTTATGGGGTCGGAGATGCTTCCTTCTGCGTGTTACATACATTTGCACAAATACATTATACCCTCTTTACCCATTTTCAATGGGTTCAGGGTATAAAAAAAGCAGAAGTCTGTCGGATCTGGTTTTCATCAGATAGTAAGGTGGCTCTAGTCGGGAGTGTCCAACTAGAAGATACCCTGCAACAAGCTGTACTCACAAACCTTCAAGCTACCTTCCATACATATATACACATAAGCACACATATACTTACAAACACAAGCAGCGCCTGTGCTTCTTCTTTTATTTGCCCCACACTTTGACTGGGAAATACATTTTTTATTAACTTGGTTGTTCAGAGTCCAATCTATATGATATGATTTTCAAAGCGTAAATATGGCGCAAGCTTCTTGCAAATTTTGGGGGCAATCTAGGAAAGATATTCAAAAACTGAAATGATTTTAATCTGTATATACTTCAAAAGCACCTGCATACCAAGTTTGGTGTATCTGTCTATTATAATTCTCGAGTTATGCTGAAGAATTCATGTGTCAAAAGCGATATTGATTAATATTATGAAAGGGCAGCGATATGGCTAAAAAAAATGATAAAGTCTTAACTTTATCACTTCTCACATGTCAAGACATTAACATTATAGATAACAAAAAGTTTCGACTATTTGCAATCAAACACATTTGCTCACTTTCCATGGCCGACCCACGTTGGGCGCCATTTGCTTAAAATCAAAACCTTTGTCAAGGCCATATCTGGGCAACTGATCGACAGCAAAAAGGCACAGTCGGGAAAAAGCCTGCAGCAAACAATGCCAAATTGGCTAATTGATGGTACTTTGTGGCGGCCACTTGACTTGATCGGATCGTCCGATCAAGATTATCGGAGCTGTTCGGCCGTAAAGCGCTCTCGAGGAGTAGCTGCGAAAAGCGCACACCAGAGATGGGTCCAATCGATAGGGCAACGTATGCGAGTGATAATTGACGAGTCCTGATTAGAGAGAGAGCACACACACACACACACACACAGGCACACACACACACACAGACCCGTTGGGCCGACAGTCGTTCGATCTCTGCGGCATATGTGCTCGAGAAATTTGGTCTTTGCTCCGCGATCGTGACAGCACACATTTGCCTACGGTCGGGCTGGGAGTTGGGAGATGGGAAATGTCGCTGTGCGCCGGGGTTAATTCACTTTTAGCGTAATTTGTAAGCACTTCGGCTACCCCCTTCGCCGGTGCTCGTCGCTCGGTTCTCGGTTCTCGGTGCCCTCTCGACGTCGCGAATTAGGCAGGCAAAGGAGCTCGGCTTTTGTGCACGCTCATTGCGCATTATTCACATGCCCAGCCAGGACAGAGAGCTGGCGACTACCTGGCGTTCCCTCAAATTTTGGAAATGCGAACTGGAAATGGAAATGGAAATGGGAACGGGATCGGGTACTGCACATTAAACACTTTGGCATATTTTGTTATTGGGACGTTCGCGGGTTGCATGCGTAACCCTTTCGTAAATCGAGTTAATCCCGTAAACGCAATGCATATGCCGATCCCAATACCAAGCCCGAATCCCCTGCCAGGTAACAGCCACAACACACACGCACGCACACGCACACAACGTTAATAATTGCGTCAATGGAAATTATCATTTTTCATTTTTTTTTTGTTTTTTTTTCGCATTTGGGCTCTTTTGGGGTTGGGCATGGGTCGCTGAGGTTTCGCTTCGGAAGGCCTCGCCGCCGTCTTGCGTTGCGATCGCTGTCTGGCTTCCTGAAGTGCCTGTGACAAGTCGTCAAAAGACGCGACCAGGGCCGACCCGGAGATCGCTAACAATAACCCCGAAATGTCACCGCGCATAGGGAATGGAAATGAAAATGCAAGTTCCACTCAAGGGGCACAGCCAGCCACAGAACCAGTGCCAAAAGCAAAGGTGAACATGTCAGAGCCCAAGACTCGGCCGGGCTATTCATTCAAGACAGTGCCAAGAACACGACAACTATGTCGACAACTTTGGCCCGTTCATTCGGCTAAGCACTTGGCCACGTAATTAGATTACATTAGTTAATTACTATTTTGGAACATGCTGGGTAAGTTGGGCGTTACGAAAGAAAAGCCAAACCAGGTCAAAGATCGCTAAAGGGTCAACTAAGTATATACAAAATAATATAAAAACCAACTAAGACACACGTTTGTTAATTTAGATAACAAACTTCCAAGGCTGCAGCTATTTTTACGCCGATTTTTTCTAGATTTTATAATTTCCTTCAGTTCATCTTACAGACAAAAGACTATGATATATGTGAATAAATGTCATATTTATAATGTTCCTTAAGAATTCTCAAAGTAATATGTTAGCTTTCCACGCTTGAATTTTAATTACTTGGCATGTGTTTAGAGTTTTTTTTTCTGAGTTCTATACTATTAAAAAATAAATTAAGAATAGTCTTTATATTAATGATAATGGAGGAGAAGTAATGAACGATATTTAAATTGATTTATTTCTTTCGATTCGTTTTTACATTTTTTTTTATAAAAAGAAGTAAGATCGTAAGATCGGAAGCTCTCGAGGAAAACATTTCCAATTACTGCGAGTTTTCATTCCCAAATATCGTTTTGTTTCTTTAAATATAGTTTGGAAAACATTTTACTCTTCGTTTTGAAAGATTCGATTTTATCATTTTTGATGTGCTGTTTTATGTGCAATTAAGTTAAATAAGGTAGATTTATAAACCTGTTATTATTTATGAGATTTAAACACAAAAATTGAGATACATTTTTATAATATTTGTGTATTACATTAAACCGAAAACCATTTCAAAGATTATTACGGTTATAGATTTGATGCAAGAAATTGTATGTATTTTTTAAAGTGTACTCATTATAATAATTATAATTCTTTAAATAATTCTTTGATATGAGAACGAGCAGAAAAGAGAAATACACATAGAGACAGAATTTCTGTAAATATATATAATACATATGAGAAAAAAAATAATTCTTTTGCAAAGTGTATACACACTTCGGTGTGTGTTGGATTAGCGAATGCTGCTTGTTTTTATTAATTGAGCGCAGAAAACGTGACTTGTTCGAAAAGCTTTTGTTAGTTGTCATCGGACATGATTTTGAAGCGAACCTCCGGAACTGCCGCTTTACCACCATTCCTCCCTCTCCAGCTGGCCTCACCCCACGCTTTGAGCATTGTTTTTATCCAGCCCCGACTCAAAAGTCTGAGTACAATGCGCTGCGTGCCAATATTGGGAAGTACGGCCTGTCACATGTCACCAAAACAATAGATCCAAAGGAAGTGCTCGAGTCAAAGGCAATCAGAGCGGGCGACCCAGAGAGAGAGAGAGTGGAGAGTGGAGAGTGGAGAGACGGGTATGGGGGAGGGGGGAAGAATAAGAGTTCGGGACAGTGCTTCAGCTCTTTTTGACAATCGCTTGGAGTAGGCCATGAGAAACCAGTCGACTGGGTCAGCCGGTCCGTAACATCAGTTAGTTCTGGACTCTCAGAACAATAGTTTTTGTAAATCGAATAAGAACACAAATCTTTCAGGGCAAAAACAGAAAAATTCTTTTAAATTTGAAGTTCACTTTTTACTTGTTTTCCAAATTGTATTTTCATAGTCTTCTGATTCTGTTTTTTTTTTTTTTTTTTCATTTTTGCACCTATTTGAAAATATACTTGAACCAGTTTTCAGCCATGGCAAACAGTGATAAAAGATTTCCAAAGTTGCGATTTGCGCTCATCACCGAGGATGCTTTGGAGATGCTGCGCCCGGATCAAAAAACGCAAGAGTCGAGCCTTATGGAGGTGAAGGACATGTACGAGACGATCAATAATACGGTGACTGTGCTGCTGGAGCAGAAGCTGAGGAACCTCAAGCTGGACAAGCTGGACCAATTGATCGAGGACAAGGTATGCGAGATACTCGATCGCCACAGGGAGATACGCAAGAGCCTGCGTGGCCTTGGAACGCCAAAGACATCCGATGAATCGATTCATACGGTATCCGAGTTCGGCAGCAGGCCCATCAGACCGATTAAGTTCGATGCTCGATCAATCAATTCGATCGCCTCCAGGGGAATGCGCCCCAAAAAGGCCAAGAAGGAACAATTCACCACCGATTATCCCTACCAAACGGAGCAGGCCAACGAACGCAAGACGACACCAACGAATATTATTAATACGAATAATACGAATAACAATAATAACAATATCAATAAAGGTAATAACAGAAATGGAATCAAAAATGGAAATCTACGACCTGTCGCGACAACCGAACCGAAGAAACATTGCGCTCGGGACATTGCGGTCAAGTATTTCAAGGAATTGGATGATCGATGCAAGCGCAAACAATGAAGCATGCTCTGATGAGATAAATATACATATACATATATATTCATTATAATGTTCCTATATGATTAAAGTTATGACCATGTTTCAAATGCCCAGACGTTTCTATTACATCTCTAATGATGATGGGTAGCACGATCGCAAGGCCGAATCAAATTGGAAAGTTGACAATGTTAATTTAGCTAGAATCTGTCTGGGTGTAGGAAGGAAAACAATTTGTATCCTCTAGCTGTACGCTCGATTGTGAAGTTCTCAGAATACCCGGTTACAATTTCGAGCTCAAATAAGAACGTGCTGTGCAAGTATTTTCGCGTTAAAAAACTGCTTGGATTAAAAACAAAGAAACGTTTCATCAACAACAGACTCTGAACAGTTTTCTTCTTTTTATACCCGAAACGAGCTGGCAACCAACTTTTGCAAATAAACAATCTGCTCCAAGTAGACTTTAAAGCCCTTTAAATGGGCTAAGAAGGAGTCTTATGGATCTCCGAAGACATATGTATATGTTACATATATTGTTGGTCAGCATCGAACTAGCCATCGAAGACTTTGAGAACGTAGCTCTGTTTCCCGCCCCGATCAGGTACCTACACGAAATTGATAAGTATCGGAGCTAATTAGAGCCAGAATAACTTATCTATGTTCTTGCTTAGTCCGAATTCTATTCCGAATATAAGTATATCACTTCACTCTTTCACTCGTCATAAAATTCGTACTGCAATTCGCATAAAGATCGGACTTTAAACACCGAAGTTAATCAACAACACATTTGCTATAGGGGGGGAGGGGGGGGGGCTCTTTTTGAGGATAGTCAAGTGCTAAAAGAGGATATCAAAAGTGAGGTTAACTTTTGTAATATCTGAGAACTGAATGTGATATATCTGCTAGTTAATCACAAGCTTCTTGGAAATCTCTGCAAATTCTAAGTGAATACCGAGTACGCAGGATTCCGGAAACAGCAGAGCTCCATACAAAGAGGACAGGCGGCGAGCTGGCGTGAAAAAATGAGTGTGTGTCAAAGTCGGGTTCATATGAATATATGTACATATTTATTGCAGTTCCGATAACCACAATTCACTTCTGCCCCTGCGCCCGCAACCTGCAACTTGTAGCTGGGAAATGGCCATTTGTTGTTGTTGCTGTTGGCCTCATCTAATCCGTGAAATATGTAAAATGAAAAATTGAAAAACTAACTGACAACGCAGCAGTTGTAAAAATGTGCTGCGGACTGAGCTGGCTTTGAGGGTAGCCAAATGGCGGCGGGCGGCGGGCGGTATGGGCGGGCGGTCCGCACAGTCTTTGCCAGCTTATCAACGCGCTGCAGACAAGGGCAGAGCATCAATCAAGAATTTCCAATGAATGGCTATCGAGTGAATTAGAAGGCCACTGCCATTTTTTTTCTTCCTCTTTTCGCATGCCACACCCCCGCCCTACCCCGACCCCCGCAGCCAACACTAGCCCCAGCCCTAACCTGGCGGCATGGTTTTGCAAATTCTATTTCTACATATGTATACATTTGAATACCCTGTGCCCATTGACAATGGGCATAAAGGGCATGATAGTATAAGCCTATACATATATACTCTTGATCAGGACAATAAGCTGGGCATATACATATGACTGCCTGTTCGTCTCTTTCCTAGTCGACCACTCCTGACATTTTTTATAGAATTCTGTTAAGAAATTTTGAACGGGCGTATATACCCGATTTATATATATACACACACATCTATATTGTTGTCATCCAAATCCAACTCCTATATCATATATGTAGGTATTTTAAGAACCCAACTCCCTGCCTTTCGCTTTGATTCATGCATCAGGTTTGCATATTCCGGTTCAAATCTTGGTTTGACATGTTACAAAACTTTCCATATTATAATTGCACCTTCTACGGAAAATATGCCCGTAATTTTGGATCTTGGAATTTCGGGCTTCGAACCGTCTGCAAAAATTGCAGGGTATTCAATATTCGTCACCGCGAGCATAATTCCTGTTTTTGTTTTTATTTTCATTTTGCCTGCTGCGACGTACCCGGCAATATTTTTGCGGCTTAATATGTGTTAAGGAAAAAAAAAAAAGAGAGAGAATCGGAAGGAAAGAAAACTCCGTTGCCGAAGTCAACCGAAACGCAGTGTTAAAAAATGTTAAAAAATTGCGCGGCCTGCGACTTGTAGTGTAGAAACAGTCACTAAGCAGGGGCAGTGGCTACAGGGGGGTAATTTGTTTTTTTTTTCGATGGGGTTGGGGGTTAGTTGGGCTGCCTCTGCTGTTCGCCGTTCGCCGTTCGCCGTTTGCCGTCTGGCTTATCGTTTGACTGTAGCCAGTGACAGGACATAACATTACCCTCGGTATCTGCGCAGCGCCATGCGTGGGCGCTGCTGACGAACGGTCACCCCGCGGCCACCTTCAAAGGCAGCGCAGGGGCGGCGGGGGCTGGTCTCTTGCTCTTGCTGTGTGCTGTTGCTGTTGCTGTGTGCGGTGGGGTAAGGGTTAAAAAGATGCTGACTAAGTACTTTGCAAAATTGCTTACATGCGTTGCGCCTGTGTCCTGTGAACTGACTACGCAGACCAGAAAGAGGAGGACGGTGGGCGGGGGAGGGGGTGACGTTGTTTGAGTTCGGTTGGGCACGGTTCGCCCTCCGTTTAGCGGTAATACATTGTCATATGCAACGGCAATGGCTGCCTGGCGTGTCATCCTCAAACTCAAAGGCAATACCCCAACTCAGTACCCCCCCCCCTCCTCCCCCCTGCCCACACCCCATTATCAGCAAGCCTCTGCCTGGCCAAGGGACGTGCAGTGGACGTTGCCAGGCGCAGTACAAACGAGAAGCGGCTGGGGACGGACATGAAACAAGTGTTGGGTGCCATGTTTGTATTGTTGTTGCTGTTGTTGTTGTTGCTGCTGTTGTTGTTGTTGTCTTTCATTTCATTTCGTTACGTTTCCCACGTTCTTTTTTATATCTGCTTCTCACTCACTTCAGCTGCTGTTGCCGTCCTTGTCGTTTTCTTTTTGAAGCCAAGTTCGTGTATTTTTATTTTTTCTTCCTATTTGCTTTGCTTTTTGTTGTTGCTGTTGCTGCTGTTGTTGTTGCTGTTGTTGCTGTGCACGTAATATAAAAATTCAGCAACGCGCAAAACTTCACATATGACAACTTACGCGGACAACAAGAAGCAGAAGCAGCAGAGGCAGCAGAAGAGGCAGCAGCAGCAGCAGCAGCGGCAGCGACAACAGAGAACAACATGTCACCGAGGCAAAACACAAGAAGCGCCAAAGACACGGCCATCTTCATCATCTTTATCTTCATCATCATCATCATCAACATCATCATCATCATCTTTGGCCAAGACGGCTCTGATGTTTCTGATTTTTTGAAGCGGAAAATCAAACGCAACGCAATGTTTACACGATGAAGCAGCAGCATTTGCAAATTCTACGACTATTCGCAGCATCCGCTCAGATGGGTTGTTGGAAAGCTCCCCTTCTTTTTTATCTCGTTGCATTCGCTGCGACATTTGGAAAATTTTCCGAATTTTCTCTATGCTATGCTAGCTGCTGCTAACAGCAACACTCGACTGCTCCAAATGTTGCCGCTGTTAATGTTACTGTTGCAGCTGCTGTTAACTGCTTAGAGTGCGATTTTAGATGCCAGTGTTGCTGTTGCTGCTGCATTTACGCCTACAATTGCTGACATTTCAGACTTTGCTCTCCCTCTCTCTCTCTCGCTTCTTATTTCTTGCTGTTGTTGCATTTGGCATGTTGCTGGAATGGTTGCTGTTGCTGCTGCTGCTATTGCTGTTAATGTTGCTGCTGCTGTTAACAGCGTAAATAGCAATTTGTTGCTATTGTTGTTGCTGTTGCATTTACGCCTACAATTGCCAAAATTTCTAACATTGCTCTCCCTCTCTCTCTGTCTCTCTCTCTCTCTCCTTATTTCTTGCTGTCGTTGCTGTTGCATCTGGCATGTTGCTGCTGCAGCTGCTGCTATTGCTGCTGCTGTTGCTGTTTCTGCTGCTGTTGCTGCTGTTTTTGTTGCTGCTGCTATTGCCATTGCTTTCCATGTTGCTGCCAGTTTTTCTTTTTACTGCTCTTTTGCTGATGTCATTTGTGTTGCTGCTGTTATTGTTACAGCTGATGCAGTTGGCATTGCTGCTGCTGCAATTCAAGTGATTGCTCGTATATGTTTAGTTTCTGCAGAGTCTACATCTAGTATCTGTTCTTGTTGCTGCTGCTGCTGCATTAGCTTTCTCAGCTATTGCTCCTGCTTCTGTTTCTTTTAGAGTTCATGTTGCTGTCGTTGATTTTGCTGCTGTTGCTGCTGATAATTCAGCTGTTGCTTGTGTTGTTGCTGCTCTTTGATTTTGTTTTATGTTGTCGCTGCTCTCCGCTTATGTTGTTTGCCATATTGCTGTCGCAGTTGCTAGTCTACATGTTTTTCTTGCTACTGTTGCTGATGTTGCTCAACTTGTTGTTGTGGACACTTCATTTGTGGATGATCCTTGCTGCCATTGCTGCTGTTTCTTTTGCTGTTGCAGTTGCTGCTGTTGTCGCTGTTGTCGCTGTTGCTCCACCTGCTAATGCTGCAATAGTTGCTGCTATTGCTTCTCTTGTGCGTGCTGCTGCTGTTGCTGCTACTGCTTCTCCTGCTGCTGTTGCTGTTAACCATGATATTGTTGCTGCGATTTCAGCTGCTGTTGCTGCCATTCTACTCCGTGTAAACGTGGCCCCAGACTCTACGCATCGTTGTATTTGTTGTGTTTCTTGTACGTGTGTGTGTGTGTGTTTGTGTGTGTTGGTTGAGTTTCAGAAAATTGCATTTTTTCATATCATTAGGTTTTATTGGTTTCTTCCTGTTAAATATTCTTGCCCTCACACCACCCGGCCCCACCTATTGCCACACACATATGCGACGCTTGAATTTTCTTTTGTGTGCGCTTGGCTGGCAAGGGGGGGTGGGGCGCTGGGCTTGGAGTCCTGGTCGCATGTTGTCAAAACAACAACGCAACGCGTCCGTCGCGCTCCAAAAACAACCTGAAACACACACACACACACGCGCACACACATAACACACACGCGAGGCACACGCATCAT